TATTTATTTGTAGTGGCGTTGTCCGTGTATTTTTGTCCGAATTTAGACTAAGAACAATGATGTCAGATGACGTAATTGCTGTCTGAATAAAATTAATTGAAGTGCAGGGTAACAAGTTCAAACAATTTTGCTTGTAATTCTACTGCTACAAAGAACACCGAATTTCATTTATACAGGTTGCACAGAATTCTATGAAAATAATTTCAATCAATTTAATAGTGTAACATTAAGTTTAACCCTTAACCTCTGTATCTATATTTAGATTTTAACTTTGACAAAGTAACCTATCATCATTATCATCTACAGCCTTTAATAGTCCACTGCTGGACATAGGCCTTTCCTTAGAAATGAGGTTTTGGCCTACTATACCAAACGGGTTGGTATAGGGTTTGTGTCAAGTTTTCCTTCTTTTTGCAGTGCTGGTTTCCTGCGTTGTTTTGCGCCTTTAGTCGGCTCTTAGCCTCTTAGAATTGGGGTGGTGACATTCCGTATTCATAATCTGTCACTACACGGACACCTAACAGTACAGTACCCTAACCAGTAACATATAGTTGCCGTAATTTCATACTTTTATATAATTGTTATTAAAAATATACCAGTCGACCTTAGAGTGAGAAAATAGAAGATTGTAGAAATATAATTGGAATGATAGTTCTATTAATATAAATTGATCTTTCTAATACTTTATTATAAGTTAAAGTTGAATTCACTATTTAGGTAAAACATTTTGCTTAGTGAATAATTCTAACAATAAATCATATATTCTAAATAACAGATATTACTATAATGAAGTTTACTATGACATCCGTGATTGAGTGGACAATATTTATCTATGACATCATTTGGAATACTAAAATGCTATAATTCTATAGATATTTCTCAGAAGTCACCGCTCACGAACACCTTAAGGTATGCGAGCCCAAAGATCACAGGGCTCGGACATATACACAGGCTGTGGTATGTCAATTATCCACTCTAAAATGTTTATTGATCTATCGCTTAATGTATTTGAGTTTAATATTTTTAAAATTTTGAATTGATGAATTTGAATTGATAATGTATTAAAAATATACTGAAATGCAGTATCAATTTAATACAGTATCAATTATAGTTACCTACACCGTGGGGTCTTTAAATAATAATCTTTTTATTTCAGAATATCTATAATTTGTTGTTAGTTATAATTGACCTTAATAACTATGTTAGTACATGTAATTGGCATAAGTAAGTTATTGTAGGACCGTCATGTCCGTCTGCAATGACACTCAGGAGATGGTTAGGACTACCACGTATCCTCTGCAGCAGTGAAGCAGCTCACTTTCGCCTGATTGCTGCAAAACCGTGTGTGAGCATCGGCCAACATGCCAAAGGCACTGCATTACCGTGTTATTTTTAGTGATAGGCACAACAATTGTTTTCATCATATCACTTTGCAAGTTTAAATGCGAAATATATAAATTATATAATAACGATTTTTAGACTTATCACGTTACCTCGAAGATACGATCCGGTAAATATTTTTAAACTTTCTCTATGAGTAACTGAATAATTAATTATTTTTTCTATATTTAATCGTAAATGTTATGTATCAATATGAAACATATCATTTACGATTACTTATTGAATAGAGTTACTATTTTTCTGTTTCACTGGACCCAGGTCATCTTCCAGGTCAAACAAGCAATGACTTTGTGATTTATTAAATTACGTTGTAACCGTCAAAGAGACACGATTCATACCTATGCTTACCTACGATGGTGTATGGTTTATTTATTACTCTAGGTTTTCATTATATTGGAGTTCACCTACATATGTATAAACAAATAATCACCTGCTGTTAAACTTCCTAATCTATGTATACACATAGGTTGGTCTGTGTACGCTTCAAAAATTGAAAAAGTTCTGTAGCTATGAACTCAAATTTTGACTATTTTTAACACTATATAAAACTCCCTTCAAAGATTGTTTTTATTTATTTTTAACCGAATTCCAAAAAGGAGGAGGTTCTCAATTCGTCGGAATCTGTTTTTATGTGTGTTTACCGATGAGACGCCTGTACCGATTTGTAAAATTATTTTTTGTTTTGAAGGGTATACTTTCCAGGTGATCCCATTTAAATTTTATTGAAATCGGTCAAGCGGTTTTCGAAAAATGAATAAAAATCTAAAAATTGTATACATCGATGATATTTTGTTAGGATTTATTGTTTAAAGTCGGTTCAACTCTTTTTAAAAAGATTTTATTATTCACGTTAGTGTTGTTCTTCATTTCTCATGAATACAACCACAATGTCCCAGAGCGAAGCTGAGCAGAGTGCAGCTAGAAATGTATAATAAAGAGGTAATAACTTATTCTCATTTATGAAAATTATTTTGTAATTTATTATTCCATAACAAAAATGTTAAAAAAATTGTAGTAAAAGTTTAATTTTTTTGCCAGTAATTTGATAAAACAAAATAGTTTGAAACCCACTGTATATGCGTGGTTGATGTAGACGGCTTGTCGCTAAGGGTCTTTAACGCCTATTACGATCTCATTTTTTTCACATCCCTACGTGAACAAAACGATCAGTAGAATGAATGAATGAAATTCCTTTGCTAAGCGCCTCGGTAGTAATAAAAAAAATAAACTGCTTAACAATTTGAAAAGGACTTCCTTTTGTCGTAAAATATTTCCCTTGCATTATGGAATTTCAAATTCTTTAGTAGGAATTTTTGGTAGTGTAGTAGTTTTTGAACCTGAGCATTTGTGCAAATTGTCTTAGATTGTAGATACATAAAAATTAATATCCTTATAATTATTGCTACGCAAAAGCACAAAGCAATACATTATAGGTAGTTATTATATATTCTATTTAAAGTACTATAAGTACAATTATATAAGTAAGTATTTTCAAGCTTACAAAAACCTTTGAAAATAATTACTTTACCATCTTCACTTTTGCAGAAAAAAAAATATTGACTGAAAAGTATTAAGAATAATTTTACTTGACTTTGAATGATAGACACAATAGCAATTAATTTTAGTAGCCGTTTACAGTTCTATTTATTAATACGTAAACACAAGGCCGTCTTAGGCCATGCCGGGCCCCTGGGCTCACAAGAATTTAGGGGCCTTTTGGACAGTTAGACGAAATAAATGAATAGATAGGTAAATAGACAGATAGGGACACGTACAGGTATAACAGATTTAAATATAGGTATTAATCAGATAAGCAGGCTTGAATGGATGCTTTTAATCGGTAACGATTAAGACAATGATTTCTTTTGAGATATCTGTTGTGCTTAATCTTCTGTTATATCTTAGTCTGTCTAAGTCTATCACGTTTACTTTTTACTTGAGGACATCAAAATTGATAACGAATGGTTAGGAATTATTGTAGACGAGAGCGTAGTAAGCCTAGAAACAATTGTATTTAAAATTGATAAAAAGAACTTAAAACACGGACTACTTGAAACAATTTTAAAAGCTTTTTCTCAATTATTATGTTTTACAAATTCTTTGTGAACTAAAACTGGAACTAGAAAAACTATCGACCCATTTCCCCTCTAAGCCACATCTACAAGCTGTTTTCAAGACTCATCACGAACCGTCTTGCGCGAAAAATCGAAGAATTCCAACCACTGTTGCAAGCTGGGTTTCAGCGCAGATATGGCACCATAGACCATATCCATACAACGTGGCAGATTATACAGAAGATCGAAAAATAAAATCAGCCCTTGTGTCAGCCAGTTTCTCATAGTCCACGAATCAAGCATTCGTGTGAATGCCTGTGAGAATGCCTTTGACTCGATTGAAATCTTGTCTGTTCTGGAGTCTTTGCGTTCTTGAGGCATTGCCAAGTGGATTGTCGAAACATCCAAATGATAATGAGATGTCTCTACGAAGCCGCCACCATCTCCGTCCAAGTACAGAATTAGCAAACAAGGCCTATACAGTTGCATCGAGGAGTGAGACAAGGGGACATCATTTCCCCAAAATTGTTCACAAATAGAATGGAGGAAGACATAGAAACATATTTAATCAAAACCTGCACGTAGCCAGAAGGATAAGCATATATGAGAAGGTCCAATTTTCCAACCAATAAAGAGTTTATTGCCGGGATTATTTACTGTTTCCCAATTATCTTTTGATTAGGAACTTTGCTTACGTTTTCCGATATTATATTTCTCCAGTACGTAGCGTACCTTTGATTAGCTGAGGTTTCCTCTAGGTAAAGAAACGACAGCTGGTATCCTTATTCTTTCATAGTTCTAGACAAAGTCTGCTTAAACTCCCTGACCCGAAACCGAGAACGGGATTCCTAGTGGTTAGGAAAGCTATTTACGTCTAATTGCTTTATCTGTGGCGGAAAGGGTAACTCGCCCTTCGCCTTTGACAAATAAGAGAAGACGGTCACTAATTGTGTCCCTTTAGAGGTTAAAAAAAGGGGGACCTTGTTTACGTTACATAAACTTCGCGCCGTGGCAAAAACACTCTTAGTGTAAGCTATAAAATATATTGGGTTCATTTATGATACAATTCATCTTTCCGTAACGTATAAGATATGTAATACAGTTGTATATTTGAATACATAGTTTTGTATTTAGCTTCTAGCCATAGCCGTCATCTGTTAGCATTAACCGACAATGTGTTCAAACTGCATCCTTTTTTCCCAAATAATTAGAAAAATCTAACTTATACAGGTTGCCCGTTATATTCAGTAAAATAAAAATAACTAAATTATAAGTTAGAAAAATAGAATATTCCAAAACCATACAATTATTAAAACAGGATGTCATTCATGGTGTAACAGTCTTATATTACGGTCACAATTGTTAAGAAATATCTATAATAGAAACTTTGAGCAAAGCCGCGTAAAATTTAACATTCTTTAATACAAAACATATAATTGAAAGGGTCTGCACCCACACGTCGCCTACATTTCGCAGAAGGCTGCGAGTTGCGATCGTACTGTTTGTATGGGCATTGTGGGCACAAATGGGCGGAAGCAGAGCACCATGTGCGCCGGCGCTTGCAACCTCTGCCTGGCGCCGTTTGACGATAGGTGAGAAAATCGCAGCGGTGTCTATAAACTGTTTTACCTGATATAAAATACACGTATAGTACCTGCACAGCTTTGTCCTCGCTGAAGTTAAAATGTAAAAATCTAGATTTATCTATAGATACAACCTTTATAAAAATAACCCTGCTATCCTTAATGAATGTTCATTGTGTTAATTAAGTTAAGTATCCTTGAAAGTATATTTGACGTTACACAAAATAAATTGGAATACAAATACGTATTAGGCTCTAGATTATGTTTATGGGGTAATTCGAAAGTTTATAATGTGATGCAGCTGTGTCGTTAAACCATAATCGGTTTACACTAAAAGCCTTTTTTTTTGTATTAAGAATTATTTATTTCTGAGAATCCTATTTACAATTGTTTGTAACAACACACAGTGTATTGTAATTTATTGTGGTTGAATAGTCGTATTTAGTAATCCAAAACACATGCAGTGTCGTGTCTGTGCGGTGCGGTTGGTAGTAACGGTTCTATGAAGGAGGCGCGGTGCGTGACTCATCTCTCGTTCATTGAGCGCTGGTCCATTGAGGCGCGCTTGCGCTCATTACCGCTCCACCGGCCGAGCTTGCGCACACGCACATAGCGCGCCGCTCGCGGACCAACTACACCGACGCACTGCCTACGACATGTCGCCTCGCATCTCTAGATACAATGTGAGTGTAGCCTACGACATCCGCTCCAGCGAAACCTACTATAAAATTATAACGATTTCTAACTTGAACATCGATTTTATTGCGGTAAAGTATATATTTTATTAATAACTGTGTTATTGTTTCAGATGGAGAATTTAAACAAGTCGCATATTTGGCTGGCGACTGCAGCGCTCTTAGCAACCTGTGGGATATGCACTAGCGCCGGCGTTGGCAGTAGAAAGCCATTCACTCCTACCGACTCAGTCATGGACATCATTAATATCAAACAAGTGCAGTCTTTCCTAGCGGAAAGACGACGAGCGGAACAGGCTACGGCGTCATCATCGACATCTTTTGTACAAAGAAATGAGCTGGGCGATGGTAGTTCTGAGACGGGAATGATTGTATCGGTACCAGAACAGGAAGATCCGACGGAATTGCCTCCCGGTGTGGAGTTCAGAAATATTTTGAAGTCTTCGAAGAATGCTCTAGTAGTGACTAAGAAGGATTATCTCAAGGAAGACTGGTGTAAGACCGAGCCCTTAGTTCAGAAAATACGAGAGCCGGGCTGTCTGCCCACAACAGTGATAAATAAGTTTTGTTACGGACAGTGTAACTCGTTTTACATACCGAAGGGCCCGCGGCGGCGTGACAACCCAGACCGACCGCAACCCGCTTTCAAGTCCTGCTCGTTTTGTAGGCCAAAAAAGTTCACCTGGGTGACAGTAACACTGCGTTGTCCTGGGCAGAACCCGCCGTTTAAACGCAAGCGGTTACAGAAGGTGAAACAGTGCAAGTGCTTACCGGTTGGAGTGAATTGATGTTGACAATGCGACGAACCCTCGCGTTTAGAGGTTGTGCGATCACCGAGGCCTGCGATTGCGCCCTCAAAGTGCACACAAACCCACCAAGATTGTAGAACAGAGATGACTGGGAGTGACTAGAAATCGGAAGTTAAAGATTGTCATTGTTACAATTTTCGATCGCGTCCCAGTGTATAGAATACTCGTATATGAACTGGTCTAATAAATTGAGATGCTGTGCTCTCATACGTCAATGGCGATGACGTAACGTGATGCATAGATTAGTTGCCTATTTAGAGTTACATTGTAATAGAGCGGCTTTGGCTACAAGTCGTCGAGCAAAAGCTTTAATTGTTACTAGCAAAACTAATTAGCCAGTGTATTAGAATAGAGGTGGCCTTCCAATCGATTGAGGTTTGTTTTGGTACAAAACTTGCGAATTATGCCCGTTTAATGCGATTATTCTGAGAATATTGTGTTTAATACGGCTGCAGAATAACGTGTGATACTAGTTTATAGTTTTGTCAATTTTGTGTTTTAGACAAGTTAAACGAAATATAAAACAAGATTCAGAAGCGATTTATGAACACCATGTCCACAAGTGTTATTTATTTATTTTATGTCGTTATATTGTAGCTAAAACTGAATACGCTTATAATTATAAATAAGTTAATTATTTAATGTTGATTGTAATTTGGGTCTTGCAGTAAAATATAGGTAGGTCGTGGTATAAGCGATATATTTCGACAAATTTCACATCAGGTTTTATTTATATTCAGCACAAAGTTATGATCTCTGTTCTCTATCAAGACTATTTGTTTAATGTATTCATGTTAATATATTTGTTTGTTCTGATATATGTAACTCTGTAGTATTTACAGATTTGATAACGATTATGAAGTAGTAGGTACGTACTTATAACCTTAGCTGTTGTGACTAGTAGAATCTAAATTAGTTTATAAGGAGTCATTCACTTCATGCAATCACTCAAATTGATCCTGAGTGAATTTTAAGTAATGTTAGTGCTGTTTTCATTCTACTTCCTCACAAGCAAAATCTTCACTTCTGATAGTGTATGATTTTAGGAATGTATGAAGTACACTACAAATTCCCTATTAGTTTACTTAATTTTTGTTGCCTCCGCGGTTTTCTATTACATTTTGGCGCCAATTTAAAGACGGAAACCTGATTACAGTGCACTTAGCAGTGCCTCACTGATAAGTGTATATAACTCCGGTAATCATATAACTATATGCTTACCGGTGATTTGTTCAACAGCGTATAAAGATGGTTACCATTATGAAAACTTATTTCAGATAAGAATATGTTTTTTTTTAATCATAGATCAATGGATTGATAAATGTTGAGTGTTATGTTGAACAGTAATAATAGATTTTTTTAAATTAAAATGAAATAAATAATTTGAAACGAGTCATTTGTAACAACAGTAGTTTAATTGATTTTTTTTGGTACCAAACTGTAAAATGTCAGAAATGACCCGCTTTTTAAACATTTTATCAATTAGGTACCTCTATAATTTAGACATGTACCTATGTAAACATAGCAAAGGTTTTTATTAGTTTTCTCCGTAGAGTTTATTCACAAGACCAGCTACGAATATCTCTGAGGAACAAATATTATACACATATATTGATCCGATGCATATATGTACGAGTATATGCATCGGATCAATATGAGTGAGTCTATAATTACCTTTTCTGCTGTGTACTTCCTGTAATTGTTTCAATTTGAGGAATTCCCTTATGAAACTAACTATGAGATTTTTAGTTCATAATTGTATAGAGGTTCATAATTATATATTAATATCGTAGAAAATCTTGCCATTGTATTTCATTTTGCAAAAACTGTTGATATTATTAAAATGTACTTAGCTGTTGTTGAATGTATAATAAGTTATTGATATTTTGTGCAACTGGAGATTATAAAATAAATGACTAGCTATAACTTAAGTATAAAAAAACACTGCAGTCAAAATTGTTCAACTTGTACATCCTTACTATATCCTAATAATTTATTGACAATTTTTTTATGATGGGGTAACCTAAAATCAACGTTAAGTTTTTTGTACCACCATATTAATATAATATACAAATTTCTGGTGTGTCTTACTTTTTATAATTATTTTGGAAAAAACAACAAAATTAATTTCAATAAATTATAATATACACATACAATACAATTAAGTTTTATTATAAATTCACACATATATATATTATTCAGAAATCATTTAAAAATGGGTTTCGTGTGACAATAAAAAAAAGAGTCCGTAATAATGATACTGACGCAAAGTGGCCAAAATGCAAGCGATGACGCCACAAGGTCAGTAGATTTACGGTGACGGCGACACCGATAATATAATACATGTTTGCCTTAGTACTGTGTAGTATTCCACTGATGATTTTCTACATTGCTCTATAAAATACATTGTTGTGTCTAATTATTTCATGATTTCAAAAATATTTCTTTGCCTTTTGAATTGGTATATAGGTTTTATAAATATATAACAGAACAACTGAAATGTTGCAATCCACAGGTAACGATGGTCTGAGGTAACTTCAGTTTGACAGAATTTCTTGTAAAAAGTCGCTTCTCACAAGGCGTAAAGTGGTTTCAAAAAACAATTTGTTGTAGTAAATCCGTTAATTGTATTGTTTAGTATTATGTATGTAATAATTTAAGCTTATAGTCGCACGACTTCAACTGATTTTATAACTTGATGAACTGTAAAACCCATATCTTTATTAAGCAATAATACTTGAGATAAGTAGTCAAAGTTATTATGTCTGTATAAATGAATTGGGTTTACTTAAGGCTCTGTTAATGCCACATTAACATATAAGTATGTCTGCAAAGACTTGTTTTTATTATTGTGATATAGCAAATATTAAGCCGATGTTGAAATTGTCAAATAATTGTCATTTACAAAATAAAAAAGTATGATACGATACTACTTTTTGCCTTTCTATGAACATCATCTTAACGCTTTGCACCATTTTAGCTTAGGTCGATCTATAACAATAGTTTTGTTTTAGCGTTCTGGACTTATTTTAATGTGAAAAATAATAAAATACTATTAAAGCATTACTTACAATACGTAGAATCCTATTGACGATTCATCTTGTGGTAGTACCTAATAAAACTAATGAGATGAGGTGATATTCATCAACTATGCCTTTAATGGTCCATTGCTGGGCATAGGCTTCTCCTTAGAAAGGAGGTTTTGGCCTACTATACAACGCTGGCCAGACGATTGGTATAGGATTTGTGTCAAGTTTTCATTCTCTTTACAGTGCTGTTGTCCTGCATGGTTTGCACTATTAGTCTGCTTTTAAGACACCCACTTAATCTGTCACGACACGAATATTTGTTATAAATCAATGTTATAATATTTCATTTTTCATAAACTGTTGGTATATTATTAAAACGTACTTCGAATCGAATAAGTGCCGCATGTGTACTCTTAAGCTGTAAATCGATTAACTCATGTAGCCGCAGAAGACCCAGTTAGTTTAGACGACATGACTATTTACTGACAGCAGCTTAACTACACCTTTAGTGACATAGTGACTTTTTCAGAAATAAATACTTCTAAAAAAACTCGAACCCTCACACAAAGCGGTTTGACCTCAAACTAGGCAGAGCCTGTAGTATAGTAACTAGACTGCTGATAAACATACTTATTTATACATAAAAAAAAACAGATAAGGAGACCCTCATATGGAACAAAAACAATCACACAATTGTTTATCATGGCTGGGAATCGAACCCACGACTGCTTAGCAGTGTGGATCACTATCCACACTGCTAAGCAGTCGCAATGACTCACAATGACTAAAAACTTTGTAAGTATCATCTAGGATTATAATCAAAGATAGTTATGTGAATAGATGGGTAGCTAAACTCTACTCGTTGGCTATTAGTGAAACCCTTCAACCCTCACATAAGTGGATTTGACGAGTCCAACAGTTTGTGTTTGATAATGATAGAAAATATTTAAATAGTGTTTTGTGGGATTAAATTACTAAGTTAAAAGCTTTACCCACCCCTGATACATATCAAATTTTATTTAGATACGACAATTAGGAATAGGTTAAAATTGACTTCCAAAATTTGGTTAGACTGATATGTAGTTAGTTACAAGAAAAGTCAATAAAAACGTGTTAAAAGAAAGAACGCATGAAGATAGAGTGGGACTACATGGAGGTTGTTCTTGTGAAAATACATTTAAACGAAGGAATCTGTTAGACATAAATGAGGACAGGTAATTAAAAAAAATATATAATTGTAAGTTTTATTTAATACATTTTAAATACAGCTTATATTTAACTACGATGCGCGATCACTGAGTGTTACTACCAGACGATTGAACTATATACCTCAACATTATTGTTATAACCACATGTAGATAAAACACTTTGGGCTAAATTAGTCACCATTGTAAGTTTTGAAACTTATCAATTCAACTCATAACCTGTAAGTAATAATATTACCGATGATAATTAGAAGACATTATCCATGGCTCTACTTTTTCTAATAGTAAGATAGCCAAAGGTGTTATATCAATTAAGGTAAACAAATGTTAGAGAATAATATACAGTGCAACGATACACTCATCGAAAGTGATTGACCTGTGCACAGATTAAAGTCCTTGTCAAATATGCTAATAATAAAACAGCAAGATTGTTAAATTATAAACGTGTCACTTATATAAAATATATTTCAAAAGCGTATAGTAAATCAAAAAGAGATACCGGTACAATATTTACGAACCTTTATTCTAGATTAATTATAGATGTGTAAATCAGTTAATAGCAATATCAACTCCAGATATCGATTCAATATCAAATCAAGTAAGGTGCAATTCTTATTTGGTTACTCGACCTGTCGATCGTGGTAACGAATGTAGTTTCGATCACAATTAAGTCCCGATTTACACATCTAATATGTAAAATGGCGAAAGTTTTAAAACAAATATTGATGAAGGCCCCTAACCCTGG